TTTAACGGTTTTAGAGAGTAATTCAACAAACAGGAATAGGGCCCGTAATTCAGTGTCAGGAAGGTTTCTTAACGTTGGAGGCTGCCAATCGTGTTTTGTCAGCTAATTGCACCTTGGAAACTTCGTCTGGTAGGTTAAGTGCTTCTTACTTGAATCAGTTAGACGAGCTGGGCCTTAGAAAATAAAGGCTAGTTCTCATGAAGTACATCTGTTCTTCAGGGTGCAAGGGACCGGTTATAGCATTGTTTTTCAGACAGTTATTGGCTGGCCATTCTGCTGGTAGCATTTAAGTCCTCAGGATATACTCTATACTAACCCGCAGAAATAACAGTAGAAATTCTGACCATCGTGAGCGCATAACATAGGATCTCAGTGAGCCGGACAATGTCATTGTTTCTCCCCAATCTTCGTTTCGATAGTGTGGAGTTCTTGGACCTGTACCTGCCAAATGATTGCGGACCAATATGACGTCCTCAAAGGCCTATATGTCACCGACACCTCAGGCATGCGTACCAGCCACAGCCCTCAGCCACCAGTTCCCCGCGGAATCGGTGACCGCTCGGAATTGATACGCGAAGATTTTGGGCAGAAAAGCGAAGATCGCTCATCTGGCATACTACTTGATGCATAATCCATATTCCATACTTACTCCATGATTGAATGCCGCGAGGCTTAACCCCCGAAAATGGATTATTAAACGGGCTACGTCAAGCTACATGTCCACGTCATGGCGACACCTTCTAGTTTCACCGTTTGTGTTGGCCATCGCTCCTTCTCTCCCTTATCAATCCCTTGATGTTGGTAGTCCATGATAGCAGCCGAACTCGGGGCCAGAACAGCAAGCACTTCAGAACCATCTATTATTACGAATATCATATCGTGGCCACTTTCTAAATTAGGCCGAATCTCGCACTTCATCTTCGCTATATTCTATCTAGTCTCCATTTGCAAAGAACATGGTATCTGCGAACAGAATCTCCCGGAGACGTGCCCCGGGGAGATTGGGGGGCCGCCGAAGGAATCATCCGAAAACCTTTACTCCGCCGAAATCGCCTCAGTCCATCCTAGCTCACGCTCGCAGAAATAGTCTCACGAGCAGACGTGGCCGTGGAGGGCTCTTCGGTGCCGGTAGTAACACTAGAATAAACCACGCAGAACGTAAAGCTGGGGGACGGACTTCGAAGTATTCCAAGTTCGGGTTGATCCCCCGCTCGACAGAACCGTTCGAAAAGGTGCGTGTGCTTTTCTGCGCTACTAAATGCTAGGTTACATTTTGGAACCCCCTCCGCCTATCCCTTGCCTAGTCAGCAGCTAGTGCATGTAAGAATCAAGCCTCGCTAACGGGAGTCCGCGTACAGAACTGTTTTGAAAAGGAACCATTTGCCACAGGCTATGTGTTCGTACCCAAGGGCGATGTGTATGTGACTCGCAATTGTCGAACAAACACAAAGGAATCTGAGCGCACAGTCTATACCGTTTTTGTAAGGGATGATGTTGCCCCGTTAACGATTAAGGTTCTAACCAGCTGCAGGACAAGACAGGGAAGAGGACCCTCGGTATCCGTGTCCCATCTGACGTCTACGCCGCTGTTCTCGAGTCTGCCGCTGCGACCGCTGAGACGCGTGCCAACGCTGTCAAGCTTCGCGATGAGAAAGACCTGGCTCACTCTCGAGAACTCCTCCGCACTCAATTCCCATTAATGCCCGCGGAATCTCTGGAGGCGGTTCTCAACCACGCATTCCTCAAAGGCTCCGGTCGAGTGGGACGCACGGCCACCAAATCAGATGAGCGCAAAGCTGATTTGGCAGTGGAAGCTCATATTCGACACATGCATACCCCGTACGAATCTATGCTCCATGCAGGGGCGAGCCGCGAAGAAGCCCGAAACGCAGTCTGGGGATTGATCAAAACCATCAAGACCGCATGGGAAGGCGGTGATTCTCAGCCTATGGATGCGCTGGCTCTGCGCAACCGGATGGTGGAATCGAATTGATGGCTATTCAGCTTGAATTTGCTCCATGCATTCCAACGACGGACGCCGACCATTACAATTGATCTTAAATCTCTTTTTACAGTAAGATGATGGGCGTCAACACGACGCTCCGAGCAACGATATCACGGCTTTACCTAAGGAGGAGAACGAAGGGGAAAGAAGAATGACATGTTACGAAGACACGAAAGATACCCTTTGTACTTGACATGCATAGACTGCATTTTCATAACAATGTTATGTTAGACTCAGCAATAGAGTGGCAGTCTCACCATCACTGGTGACTTGGATACACTCATCAAGTTTTGTTATTATCACTAGTTCTATGAAATGAGTTCTGCAACATCCAATCTGAGATACTCTAATCTAAACAAAACAAAATCCATGCCATTCACCACTCACCTAAAACCCACAATAAGTTCCAGGCTTGTCTTTACTCGGAAAAGCAGGCTTAACATTCGCGAGAAACGCCTCCCAAGAAGAATACCCAGCATCCGTAACAGAAACATTAGTCTCCGTCCCAGCGCGCCCAGGCGCAAAAACATCAACCAGACAACACTCATCCAACACCGCCGGGAATGTAAACTTCTTCTTCCCCTTCTCCGCCACATCTTCAAACGCCATATTGTATATCCATGCCTCCTTGAACACCTCTTCCGCCGTCTGGGCCTCCGACGGAAACCCCCAATACACCCGAATGCGATTGTCCTGAACAATGCCCGACGTGTTGGCGTAACCCTCCTCGCCCATTGTCATTTTCCGCTCCAGTTCCCGTCGAGATGCTAAAATCACATCCGCTGGGTCCAGGGGGTCCGTCCACGGGTCGATGTCGAGGTAGATCGCCACCGTGTTGGTGTGCGTTTCGACGCTGAGCCCGGCGTCTCGGAGGGTTTCTTTGCGCTCCGCGTCGAAGGGGCTGGCGGTTGCGCGTTTGAGGGGCTTGATGGGTGTGCTTAGTGTGGCCATTGTCGGTTTTTCTTAGGGGTAGGTGTTTTGGCTTTGTTTGGTATGAGTTAGGGACGTGGTTTTGGTTGTGGTTGAGAGGAGAGTTGGCTGTGGGGTGTGTTAGTGAGTGAGAGCTGGTAGAAATGTGCGAGTATTTATATCTGAGGGTTTGGGGGTGATGTGTTGTTGACCTTGAGAAGGTGCAGTTGTCGAGGTCGATGGCTTTGGTCTTCCAAGAGAGTTCATTGTTACTTTTATAGAATTGGTGGTACAAGATACGCATTAGGTTTTGATTATGATTGTTCCTAGGTATGCTTTATCACTCGATATAGAGCATAGTGAAAGACCATATTAGCTTGAATGGGGATTGCAGTATCCCCGATGCTATAATGAGCTCAAAGATGTGTATACAAACTGCCCCCAAATGATGTATATTCAAAGAAGCATAATAACAACAATCGTGAAGTTCAACGACATGTGGATTGTCTTGTTCTCCCATCTTTATATCATAAACACCCCCAAGAAGTACACTAGTAGACCAAAACCGGTCCAGCTGGCCCTTCAATCCTGGTCAAAGTAAACCACACGTTTGACCATGGTTGCAAGAATGCTTGGTTTATAGGCTGGCTCGACCTGCGGTGCCTCATATACCAGACAGCTATGGTCGCCTTCCCTGAGCTCAATCGGAAGGTCAACTTGGCATAATTTGGTAGACACAACATTCGATCAATGATGCTAGGGAACTGTGAATGAAACAGCTCGTCAGTAGTAGTCCGTGAGAAATATGAAGCATATCCTCTGCTTATCCTCATTCAATGGGGGTTGTTTTCTCGGGCCATGGACGGCCTCTATATGCACCTCTTTGGACTGTAATTAGTACCTCGAAATGGTTTCTGATGTAAAGCATGGCCGCCGTATCTGGGGCATGTCGACACTTTGACTGGAGTGCTTATCCTTGGAATAGCTGGGCTATGTAGATGGATAGATATGTAGATTAGGACAAAAGTTTGCTTAAAATAAGAAAGAAGAATATGACCAGGGTGGGATTCGACAAATTAATGACACGGAAACCTCATGAAGCTCTGATGGACAGGCGTACCCCAACTGTGCGCCTTAGACCGCTCGGTCACCTTGCCTATATACAGATATTATTCAGGTTAGTTGAACTCATGAAAAGGACCTAGCTTGCGCACGGTCTCGATGCTCGGTGCGTGATGATCTTCGTGTAGATATAGAAGATGAGCCTCGTTGGGTTGGCTGTTTCTGACTGTCCAGACCCATACTGGGGTCGTTTATGGTCACTCGTACTTCTCAGGCCCTGGTTGCTTGTATTTCATTTTGTGGCTTTTGATTCTGGTGAGGGTTTGAGAGTGGTAGGAGGTATGTGGGATGTTGGATAAGAGATTTATAGAGATGAGAAGGAATAGGGTTCATCTTTATGCTTATAGATCTCAGGGAAATGCACGTATTTCAATATCCTGTGATTCGGCTTAACTTTAGACACCAGATGCTCTCTTTCCCGGTGATAATAGAGACCTCATAGTATATGTAAGGCTTTTGCCGCCGGAGACCTCCAACGTAGCAATCTACTGACAAAGTATTGAATTTCCCGTGCCATAGAAATGATCTGAGGAACTTACCCCTATAGTGTATTGTTTGTAGACTCGAGGCTTCTTCCGCTTTGGATATCAGTGGCAAAGAGTCCACTGTCACAGGATATTTGCATATAACAAAGGCACACTCCGCCATTGTATGTAGTTTTCTACTGTCATAAACACCGGCAGAGCCTTGTAACACTCAGGTTCCATCCACGTGTGATCATTGCAGGACCCAGGCTCAATATTCATGTATTTGTGCGATATAAAAGATAGACTAATGGTTACTGATCTGCACTCGAACCAAATTTATCTGTCGCTAGTATTTAAGCATACATTCAATGACCACAACACAGAAAATCATTCCATTGTAGATAGCAATTGGCAACTGCATACCCATGTTCTCCTTCAGCAGAAGCTCCTAACCAACAACTAAATTGATAGCAGTAGAAAAAAAACGACCATGCAGTTCACCAGGAATCCAACGATACAGCATTGATGTTGCTAGGCGACCTGTTCCATTCCTTTATATTATCAATCCTTCCCTCCGTGAACACATAACAATCTTTCCACTTAATCGGAAGAACCATTTTTCGACCTTCTTCCTTCTTGTCCAGAGCTTTCTTAATACCCTCGATAATCGGTTTCAAATCGGAGTCGAGCACGTCTCTCTGAGTCTCGTATAATGTTCTAAACATGAAATAAGTTCTCTTCTTTCCATCAGGAATTTCATCCTCTGGGTGTAACATGTGAGCGACATTGTCCCTCGGGATCCTGTCCGCTTCTGCCAGACATTTCTCAACGGCATCGCAGGCATTGACCGTTTCGCTGCCACTGCAGGGTATATCAAAGGGGAGGCTGACGAGTTCCAGATCCGTCAGACTAACCACGAGCTTCTGCTCAAAACGTTGCTGTTGCGCAATCATCCGACCTTCATGCAGTTGCAAACCTGGATTATGCTCGGACAGATCATTCTGGAACTCATTGATAATTTCGCCTGGTTCTGTGTCTCTCTGGAACCCTCGTGGCATGCATCGCCAATCTTGGGGTGTTTCGGTGGTTTTCTCATGTTGAGATCCTGGTTCCGGGGCTTCTATTTGGTGTGTTGCTTCATTGTGCTCCATCTTTAAGACTGGGCTGTGTGAATTTTGCTTCTCAGGTCTGAATGGCAATAGATAATGAAGAAATATGACTGAGTTGGTAGACAGAGACCAGAAGAATTCAGACGAGAACATACTGATATTTATACCTGGAGACTTGGGAACTGCCCGCTCTAATGAGGACAACCATGATGATCATGAGAGACCATCTGTACTCTTCAATATGGTACGATCCGAGTGAAACTTCCTGTAGCTGGCCTCTTGCGGCTTCATGCCTAGAGTGATTGGTATATGGAAAGTTCGCAGGGATCCCAGATGGAAACACCCACACACAAGCCTCTACTTTCCGGAAACTACTATAATAGAGATCGGTGTTTAGAGCAGCAGACGAGGAAACTCCCCTCACAGCCTAAATATGCCTTGGCATATTCCGAGTCCACGGCAAGGTCTATTAGCAGAGCTACCGTCATACGCCACCTTCGACTCTGAGCAAAGGTATTTTCCCAGACAAGCGGCAAAAGCCCTAGTTATTACGCACATCCATAAAGATGGCATTTCGTGTCTAGCACGGCAAAGTACTCAACGACTACCCTCCATGGTCATTTCCAATACCTATCTTCAAGCATTATAGATTCTAGTTTCAAAGGCTCTGATCATTGAACGGATGAGTGCTCAGCACCATGACCAGCACGTACCAAAAGCCGCAGACGTGTCGCAAAGGAAATAATGATACTAAGCAGCAGGCCGTCTCTCATTCAAGTACAGACTCCTAAGCTCCACATAAATATGAAAAAGATAGAAAAAACAAAAAGCGGGGGGGGGGGGGCCAGTATAGCCTGCTGAGTTCCCAAACTCTTCAATCTGCAATATCATGTAGCCTTCCAACTCTCCTGAATGTCAGAGGATTATATCGATGGAAGTACCAGATCGGCTGGGAAACAAATATGTACATATTCCTGAATTCAATGGGAAGAGTGCACCGACGCAAAAGACGATGCCGATATACTGCCTTGAGATTGCGATACACCTGCTGAACTACATGGCCACTATGTTCAGCTTTGGTCGGGAACGCGAAGCAAATTCGCGCAAACCCTGGCCTCAGTGAAGCGTGTGGATGTCCAGGGTGGATGCCACAGCCCCAGACAAAGTGATCGTTATAATACCCAGTGTCATTGGGTCTTCGCGGGCGACCAATATGGTCCTCGGCGACGTCCTGGTATCTTCTTTCCAGTTCGCAAATGGAAGAACAGATGATTCCTGTGGCGTCGCATGTATTCGGCACATCAACGAAGACGCACACGAGGTCTGTGTTGTGGGCATCAACCATCACTCCCTCCATGAAAAGCTTTTCCTTGCGCAACTGCTCATCCCGGGGTACGCTTTCCTCATAGGCATTTCTGATATAATCTATGAGGACAGAAGAATCTGGTGGGTCATCGACACGATCCTGTGCGTCTATGTTGGCGCAGAAGAATTTTGGCGCTTTTGGTGGCAGGGGCTGACTTGGTGGTCTTGGTGGTCTTGGTGCTAGGGGCCTCGCCATGTCTGCTGATCTGTTGCTTTTGAGAAGATTTGAACTTCAAAAGGTATTAGTCTGGAATGGAAACTATTCCAATGGTTCATGATGTTTAGATGTTATCAAGCGAAGATCAAACCTGTTTATATACCCTCAGGGTGTGTCCGCTTCTCTGGGTAAAGACACAATATTGAGACTCGAGTAGTGGAAATTTCATTGCGATGTGTCAGTATTTATTCAATAAAGGTGCCTCAGATGCAAATACAATGTTGCTTGCTTTTAGTGTCGTGTTGGGATTTAGATGAAGATCGAGGTAGGGCTTGGGATAACTATTATATTCCCGGTGTAAGAACGCATATCGCCTGACTTAGGTCTGAAACCAAAGGAGACTTCTTTACAAACCAGGCTATTTTTGGTGATTCATGGGAATTTTGTCTTTATGCTGTTCCGAATCCTTAGTTGCATAATGTATACTAAAGACACGCTGATACTATTCTTCAGCTGGGCCTTTCAGCTCAGCAAACCCAACAATGAAAACAAAGCAACTCAGGTGGATTATTCAACGGCATTCAAGCTATGCAATTCCAAATACCTGAACCTTTGAAGGTCGCAGATGAATCAAGGGTAGAATCTCATCAGGTCTTGAGGTACTACCACCCCGAAACACAAAAGCTCATCACACCAGACCAATAAGTGAGTTCGCTCTTTAACGCTCGGCTGATTCTCTTTGAGCAAAATCCCGTCAAGCATGCTGCGAGATTATGGGCCTTGAACGGAAGAGACAAACTGATAGATACCAATAGTAGTATTAAAGAACAATCGTAGCATATATTATGTTACATGCACATCGTCCCTCTCAAACATAGGTCCCTGCTATAAACGAATCCGCAAACTGAAAACAACGAGATATCCATACTAACTAGTCTTATGTCTATCCATGCGTTCTCTCTCGTTCTATTGCTCTGCTCCAAGCCGGAGAGAAGGTTTCTTTCGACACGCCCAGTGGGTTTCTATCGTAGACATATCCACGGTCTAATCGCCACAATCCAGGCTCAGTCTGGGCCACCCGGAGTCCATCACCGAGGATAACTGGTAGATCTGAATCAGTCAACCTACTCTCAAAGTACACATCGACAAGACGCAGTAGTTCCTCATACGCCATTCTACCGCTGTCAGCCCTGGTGTAGAAATTGTAACTAATCCTCACAGACCCATCCTCAACTGGCTCAGTTGGGATGAGCGCATCAATAGACTGCTCCTGGTGCTCGGCAGCATCAAGTTTCTTCTGGAGTTCCTCTTTAGAATCAAGGAGACATCGACGGACTTTGAGAGGGCGTGTCTCAGGTATATCGACGAACACGCAGACAAGATCATGCAGGCTCGCATCGACAGTGATACCGTCGATCAAGAGGGCCTTTTTGCGGTCGATGGCATTCTTAATAGTGGGTTCATCAGCTCCCGGTTCGTCTTCCAGCTCACGGAAACATTGACGTATCTCCTGATTTTCGAGTATATCGATGCATCTTTTTAGCTTATCTCTATCCTCGGTTGCTGGCTTCACGTAGTATATAGGGTCATGTCGTAGCTGGGCTTTCGATGGCTCAAATGACGGGTCACTCATGGTGTATATAGACCAATGCTTTCTGAAGTTACTTGGTCCTTGCATATGGATATCGATATCAACAGGGGAAGAATTCAGAAATAATAACAGAAAAACTTGGAAATACCCAACGAAATCATACCAGCATTTATATCCGTGGTTCAGGGAAGCGCCTGTTCGATCTAAGAAGGGCACGTTTAGACCGTTGGACTGTTGACAAATCCAGTATCGTGTTACACGACACTTGTGTACCGCAAAAGATATCTTTAGACACTGGGACACCAGGTGCCGTTTCTTCGTTGCCATAACGGGAGCCATCACAATCAAGGGTTCTGCAGCGTAAAGCTATGGTAACTACCGAGCTCCATGATCATGAATATATGTAACCTTGGCCCTGCTGATGCTGACGTGGTCTGAGTAGTAAGTTGTGGCACTCTGGGGGGGGGTTCAAAGGCGTTTGACGTGTGTCTTTGAAGTGTGGGGGTCGGTTCTACAGCGTAAGGAGTAGGCTGTAGTTGTAGTATTTGTGATATTTTCTGTATGCTGAGATAGTCATGTGGATCAGTCGATAACCGCCCTATGAGATCGTTTGTTAACTTTCTCGTTTGGGTCTTTCCATGTAGAGTTGAGCTAGACTTTCCCTTATGGAGGTCGTAGCGCAGTGGTCGATCCTACAATAACTTAGGGCTTCGTCCTAGGTTGCAGATGTATTTGCCAGACTCTGTGCATCCTGTTCTCGTGACATGCATGGGTTTAGGGCTTAATACTTTCGTGGGACTAAATCGTGTTACGTAGAAGCAACCCATTAAAGGAGCAACAAAAGTTTGGTCTCGACTATGTACAGAGTGCTCAAATATAATACAGTAAAAACATATTGCAGTCGGAGTGAAAAGAATGCTGATGTTATCCAGGCCCGTAGAATCACTGTCATGTCCTCGTATATCACGTAACGCCAGATCCTCATATGTTGGTCAGAGCTTTGGTAATATGGTTCTCTTCGGTGTGCTGTCCCTTGGAGTGACCATATCACCATCCATACCTCCACTATCCCTGGCTTCGCCAAATAACGGCCGTATAAACGCAGTTCCCTTTGAACCCACCCGTAGTCGAGTTTCATGGGCGAGATACTTGCTGAAAGAGACTTGGAGAGTCATTGTGACAAGTATTCCAAATCTTCCCTTTGGCATTTTGGAAGTTGCTTGTAAGGACCCTAAAAGAGTTTTCTTGGCTGTGGCACGTCTTTCAACCATAGAACAAGAGAACCGCCTGAGTTACCCAAAGAAATACTCCATCCAGCCCTTCCTCCAGGTTCTCCCAAAGCGATGGTTGATGCATGCATGTTTACTGCGGAAACCCTCGGCACCACTGTGTCTTTGTCCGTTTCCCCATACATTCACAGGCAGGACGCAGACGCCCCCCATGGGCTTTCCATCCATGGCCTCCGAGGCGTCCACACAGACTAGTTCTTTGATTCTGTTGAACGGGGCCCACATCACTCGCCTTTGAGTCACCCCAGTGGACGACGAAACGAGATCTCCAATGTCCGCATCCGCATTCACAGACGATTCCACCAAGCTGTGCGTCGGGGACAGCGTCTGAGAAAGTACATCCAGAGCCGCATCGGTAAATACTCCAGGTCCAGTGACCTCCAGAATCGTGTTTTCTTTGTAGCGTGGTCCGCGCATGAGGCGCGGGGAGGCATGCGGCTCGTCGATTTCAGTGCCTACCACCAGAGAAACATTCAGGCTTCTGGGTCCATCTTCCTAAAGTGGCTCTAATGCCGGGCATTCCTTGATAGCGCGGGCAGGGTAAACGTCCATGTCTGTGTAGAAGCCGTCGTAGTACCACAGAATCAGATATCGGATCAGGCCCGAACGTATCACATGGTTCGGGTAAGAATCATACAGCTTCTTGAGATCTGGCACACCCGAGAAGATCTCGGTGATGAATTTGGATGCTTTTTTGTCATCCACGAGCTGTCAGGCCATAGTATACAGTAAGACTAGTTCTATGTGGAGTCACCCTTACTGTATACTTCCATCCTCTGTTTTCTTCCTCAAACTCCAAGGAATCTGATTCTCACTCGGTGTATTTACCCAGCACAACTTGCCAGATTCGATCTTCTGCGGAGGTATCCCAGTTTCTTTCGCGGAGAGCCTTTCTCTCTATCTCTAGCAGGGCATCCGATATCCTCTTCTCGTATTCTGAATCAGGGTCCTCACGAAAGGAGGAGAGATGCAGATATCGCGGAGTAGTGTCCACATCATATTCGGGGGCTTTTCTATTCGAACTGGTATTGTTCTTGGTCTTTGGCGGAGGTGGGATATGGTAAAGCACAAGGTAGATCAAGGCCGCCAACAGCAAGAAGATCAGTTTTCGACCACCTATCGTTAGCTTTCTCTGCCTTTTTGGTATCGTCGCCATGGGGCTTTAGATAGAACGAGCGGATGGAGTTAATCGCCAAGTTCACAAAGAAAACAAGCCTCGGTCAAGAAAAAAGAAGAAATGCGGAAGTGGCTCCATATTTCTTGGTTTGACTTCAGGGGACGCATGCTGGTTAGAAAGATTGCAGAGCAACAGACAAAGAAAGCGCCGATCGACTTCATATGATTAGGACCAGGGTACCCTATCGCCAAACGGTTGTTATTGGTGGTTTTTCGAATGAGTAGTATTATATTCAGGTGTCTTATTTGGCAGTGATTGTGTCTAGTGCTGCAGGTTTCACCTCTGACCTTGCGATCTCCGAGCATCTGGCCAGCGAGTGTAGAGACACTGGTAGAGGAGAGAGGGTCGTGGCAGACTGAAGGATGTGTATCTGGCAGTTGTGCTCACTACGCTAGCTCCATAGAGTATGGAAGCGTATAGATTGTGCACAAGATCCCATTTCTTAGTTTTTATCACCTGTGAGGTTAAGTTTAACATGATGGTTAATGTCAATCTTCTTATTTCCCCGTCGTCGCAGCAATGATATCTATAATAACACCTCTGTCCATATTACAAGAATATTACTATGAACCTGTCATATGCAACTTCTAATTTAGTCACAAATGAAGAAATTGCTTCTTAATTTACGGCGTTACTCTTACACTACTAGTAGTAGTACTATGGTTGACAAGTGAATGGTTAAGGTGTTATATATACCAAATACTGCTATTGAAAACTTTGCTGAGTGTGAGTATTGTATCCTAGAGCATACTAAATCCCTTCGTAATAAAGATAGCAGAAATTAAAGACGAGATGAAAGCAGAAATAACCCCAGTCAACTCGAAGAAACGCGTTGTATCACATTCCTAGAGACATGTAGGGCTAGGGCTACGCTAATCCGCATTCGGCGCGGCAGAAGCAAAACCTATCTGAAGCTCCGACAGTCCGCATCAGCCATCTGCTATCGCTCCCGCTTCAACTTGATATCATCCCCGCTCTCTTTCACAATGGAAGGCGCTGACATTGTTGAGTCGCCGCGTAAGCGGCAGAAGGTTGACAATACCTCTACGGCAGATGAAGCTACACTTCCCCCTTCCGCAGCAGCACCGGCGGAAATCTCCGAAAGTGACGCTCAAGCATTGAAGGAGGCCGAAGTTGGAATTACCGAGTTTGTTAGCGCAGAGAATGCGGGATTTTCTGGCATTTTGAAGAAGAGGTATTTTCCCCAAGAAATGAGGGGAAGCCGTCAACTGATTAGAATTGTTTTAATTTCAGGTATACCGATTTCTTGGTCAATGAGATCGTTCCCTCGGGCGAAGTGCTGCACCTAAATACCCTTGCTGGACCTCAGTCGGAACAGAATAACAATGACTCTGCGAATAAGACGGAAACACCAGTGGAGAACAAGCCACAGGAGGAGGCGGAAGCTGCGGTTGCGAGCGATGCCACACCCAACGCGGAGACACCTGCAGTCGAATTTAATATCTCAGATGAGGACAAGGCGCTGTTGGATTCCTATTTTGGCGCCGACCACGCTAAGAAAATCATATCGCTGTATAAGCGCGCCCAGTCCAATGAGAAAGCCCGCCCAAGTGAACTGGGTAAGTTTGGAACCGTTGTTGTAAACGATCGCGATCTGCGCATCAAGATGCACCAGGCGATCCGTCGCATCTTCAATTCGCAGATTGAGTCTTCTACGGATGGCGAAGGCATGATGAACATCTCGGTCGCTGCAAACCGAACCAAACGCAAAGCGCAGGGTGCTCGCGAGGGTGGCCGCAATCAAGGTCGTGTCAACTGGGATGAGCTCGGAGGTCCCTATTTGCATTTTACTATCTACAAGGAGAATAAGGACACTATGGAGGTCATATCCTATATCGCGCGTACCTTGAGGTTGAATCCCAAGAGCTTCCAATTTGCCGGCACTAAGGACCGACGTGGAGTCACGACGCAAAGAGCTTGCGCGCACCGGGTGCATGTTGATCGACTTGCGAAACTGAATTCGACCCTCCGTAATGCGGCACTTGGCGATTTTGAGTATCGCAAGTACGGCCTTGAACTGGGTGATCTTGCCGGAAACGAGTTCGTTATAACGCTCCGTGAATGTGAGATCCCAGGCCTTGATCTCCAAGACCGTGAAACTGCCATTAAGAATGCGACCGAGCGCGTGGGATCGGCTTTGCGCAACCTGCGTGAACGTGGCTACTTCAACTACTACGGTCTCCAGCGCTTTGGAACCTTCGCGACGCGGACGGACACAGTGGGTGTTAAAATGCTGCAAGGAGACTTGAAGGGCGCCTGCGATGCGATCCTTCACTATAGTCCCCACGTTCTAGCCGCTGCCCAAGAAGGCGAGAACTCGACGAGTTTGATAAGCTCAGATGACAAGGCCCGCGCAGAGGCCATCCACATCTTCGAAACGACTGGTAGAATCAGCGATGCCGTTGAAAAGATGCCTCGGAAGTTCTCCGCAGAAGCTAACTTGATACGCCAGCTGGGCCGTTCCAAGAATGACTACCTCGGAGCCTTGCAGGCGATTCCCCGGAACCTACGGTTGATGTACGTGCACGCCTACCAATCATTGGTCTGGAACTTCGCTGCAGGCGAGCGGTGGCGGCTGTACGGAGACAAAGTTGTCGAGGGAGACCTGGTCCTCATCCACGAACACGTCGACAAGAACCAAAACACCAATGGCCCTGCCGCTGATGTCGATGCAGACGGCGAGGTGATCATTGCCCCGCAAGCAGAGGACAGCGCCTACGCCGCAAGCGATGCCTTCGTGCGCGCCCGAGCCCTGACCGCTGAGGAAGCCGCCAGCGGCAAGTACACCATCTTCGACGTTGTCCTCCCCTTGCCAGGATTCGACGTGCTGTATCCCGCCAATGCTATGGGTGATTTCTACAAGCGCTTCATGGGCAGCGAACGAGGAGGCGGTCTAGACCCATATGACATGCGCCGTAAATGGAAGGATATCAGCTTGAGTGGAAGCTACCGGAAGTTCCTCAGCCGAATGGGACCAGACTATTCGGCCGAGGTGAAATTGTATTCCGCGGATGATGAGCAGTTCGTACAGACGGAATTGGAGAGACTTAATGGCAAGCAAAGCACCGCAGCTAATGCCGACTCTGCCGACAAAGTTGCCGTCGTTCTGAAGTTCCAGCTGGGCTCCAGTCAGTATGCAACCATGGCCCTGAGAGAACTGATGAAGGGCAAGGTGCTTGCTTATAAGCCTGATTTCGGTGGACGTTAAGTCCAAGACTACTGTGCATATACCTCAATGCATGCACCACTACTGAATCTGGTGTAGGCACAAAAGTTTTGTATATATTGAGCATAGATCCAATATGATATAATCAAACCATGTTAATGCTATTGGCTCAATTATCCCTACTAGGATTTGAATCTACGGCCTGCCCTTAATTAAATTTTTAATAGCATGAAAACCACAAGGTGATAGAGTCCAGTACCCTACTCCAAATCAGAAGAAACAGGAACCAGATATTGTATATTGACCACTCTCTGAGTTGGTCCTCTGGAAAGTGTATCTTTTAGCAAATCAGGGATTTACGTCCAATACACCACTAAAATCGCGCGTGGCATAAATATACGGTGATATAAGTAGACTAGGAAACTATGGATGTACTCTGTTTCCCAAACCCTATGCTAATCCGCATATAGGAAGATCCCGGATGATCAATAAACTCAAACTAACCAATATATCATTGTGCCCCTCCCGTTCTTTTGTCGATGACCACCGACTTCCGCCCATAGTTCACGCTTTTTATGAACTAGTATCTTAACTCACTCTAAAATCATGGATTTCGCTACACAGAATACATCCGGGGCACCCGAGGATGTACACCTATATGTTGGCAACCTGTCACCGCGAGTGACGGAGTATATGCTCACTGAGACTTTTGCCGCTACTGGAGCTGTGCAGCATCTCAAAATTATTCCTGATAGAAATGTGGGTAATAGGTAGAGGCTGTGGAAGTTGCTCTAAGCATATTTACACTTCACTATTTTATTTGCCTAATATCGGAGCTTTAATACCATTGTTTTAACTGGTTAGTTTTCTAATTTCATCTTGTTAACACAGTACCAACACGGGGGCCTGAACTACGCCCTTGTTAAATACTTTGACATACAATCTGCTAAAACAGCAGTGCAGACCTTGAATGGTCTGAAACTCTTTGATACTGTAAGTTCTTTTTTTTTTTTTTTTAGGATCTTCTAGGGTCGTCTAATCTCTTAATTTACATATACAGGAAATTCAAGTCAGCTGGGCCAACCAAATCCAACAAGATACAAGAGACGCACCGGGTCAGTACCGTGTCATTGTGGGAGATCTTAGTCCTGAAGTCAATGATGACATCTTACGCAAAGCTTTCTCTGCGTTCAGCTCACTATCTGACGCTCGAGTCATCTGGGATTTACAATCGGGTAAATCCCGCGGTCATGGTTTCCTTATATTCAGTGACAAGACCGATGCAGAGCAAGCCATTGCTACCATGAACGGTGACTGGCTGGGATCTCGCGCAATTACAGTTAGCTGGGCCAACCAGAAACCTCAGGGGAGTTCACAGAACTCCGAGTCTGTTTCATATGAATCGATTCTGCTGCAAGCTCCCCCGGACCAAACCACAGTCTATATCGGAAATCTTGTCCCTTATTGTACCCAGGCTGATCTTATACCTATTTTTCAATCTCTTGGGTACTTGAAGAGTATTGAAATGCATGCCGACCAGGGACATGCTTCTGTACACCTAGACACGCATGAGCATGCGGCAATGGCCATCTGCCAACTTCACGGCCAAATGGTCCATGGCCGACCTATTAAATTGGGTGTATGTACTGAAAAAAGATTCACTATCTAGTTCTATCTGGCATGCTAACTTCCTGAAGTGGAAACAAAACGACGCCCTATCAAATAGACCCCTGCCAGATTACGGAAACCTGCAGGCACCTGGAATACCACCACCTACATCCAGTAAGCATCTCCATATACAACTATCTACCCTTTCATGCCACATGACTAGTGACTGGTGACTGATATAACGTTTAGGCGCACCTGGACAGCATATCCCAGGTTTAGGAGATCCTGTCTCATACTATACGCAGAATTACGGGGGTTACTACCCGCAACAGAGGTACTAGATTACCGCGGATTCTTTAATAGGACAACCCAAATTGCTATGAAGCAGAAAACCAACGCGTACACACCTCACCAAAGTGCTCTGGTTGCGGTATTCTAGGTCATAACATTACTCAATATCCTATTCGTCAGACTATTTAGACGTTCTATAGAAATGCAGATTTTTCGGTGTTTTGAATAGCTTCAATTTCTAAGAGGCGCGGAAAAACGCGTGGTTGACCCGCCAAGTTGCGTGACCCACTACCTTACTTATGGGAAATTGGGATAATAGGATGGTTCTTGTTTTTGTCAAGGTTATATAAATGCAATCGCTAAATGGAACTCTCTGCTTCAAGTATAGAGAACCTAGGTCAATGTACAGTACACAGGATATAGGTAGGAATATATAGTATATGGAAAATCTCAAAAGACCAAGAGCGAGACCACGACGCCAAACAACCAATATCACAAATACACACACCTCCGCATGCCTAAGGCCGGGTATTTCGCCTTCGCTCATTGTCATCTATCGACGAGATAGACGACACATCATCCAAGTCCCGGTTCTGCGTCGGACCCGGCCTATCACTGAGCCTCGAAACGACCGAAGCCGCATCGTCATTGTTGTGTTTGTTGATGTTGTTGGTCGAATCTTCGAATGGTGATAGAGGCCATGCCGGAGATCGAGGCGTGTGTTGTTCATGGTGGCTCATGTTTTCAGCGGTCAAGGCCATTGGACTTCCGTCGGGTGCGTATATTGAGTGAACCTGTTCGGTGAAGCGGCCTCGGACGCCGCTGCGACTGTCGGCCGATGGCGGCGGGCGTAGTTCTCGGTTTAATGATTGGGTATCTGGGGTGAGTGTATGGCTATGCGGTATGGGTCGTTGTGCCATGGTCCCGAAAGAGGTTCTTTCTCGCGGGGTTGAGCCGAAGTCCCCCCAGGATGGTTCTCTTTTGGGTATTGCGTATACTAAGGATGGATTACTCGCGGAGGCGAGTTGCCTCTCCCGACGGCGCCGCTTTAGGAAGAAGAATAAAAGCCCCGCGAAGAGGGCAAGCCCGACGACGGAAACGGGTACGACAATGGCGATGGTTGTTTTGGTGCTGATGCCATCGCCGCCACGGTTGTTTGCTGCTCCAAGTGCGGATTGGGTGGTGGTTGGAGCGGTGGTGGATGTCGTTTCAGGCTGTGTAGCTAAGCTTGTGGTAGTTGTTAAGGAGGATACCGAGCTCCACGCGGGTGGAGTGAAAACCGGTACAACTTGGAGACCTGTAGGTCGGTTGCCCGCCGGGGGTTGTATAGATGTTGTTTCTGACTGCAGGGACGATGTGGCCGTCTCCAAATGTCCCATATTAACAACAGGGTCAGGGTTTCCTTCTATCTGAAAGGAGGTCTCGCTCGTTTGTGCAGTTGCCATGGCCGTCTGTACCGCTTGGTTGGTAGCTGGGGAGTTTTCAGTATTTATTGTAGTTTCAAGTCCTATAAAGGGTTCTGAAGCGTCCCAAAGCAGTCGTTTGTTCGACCATACATCGCACCCAGCACAGTCGGGTTGTTGACGAGCCCGATCATGGGCATGCAACTTGGACGGCCCAGCGGGAGTGTCGCTCAGCATGACGACCATGGGATGCTCCATGTCTTAATGTTTGCGATGGAAGTAAATCAATTTGGTTTTCCTTGAGAGTTGTAGGTCCTAATGCACAGCCCTAAGTACATCTGAAGAGAACTATCAACATATACCCACACACACGACAGGAACGAAGAGACAGGCATCAGATTTGCGAGGGGGAAAAGGATCCATATGTGCGGTAGTGCCAACAACCAAACTGAATCAGGGATGGAACATGGATGACATCTAAGTCTCACATTAAATGTAACCTACCGCATCATCAAAAGTCAAAGTAGACGCAATGCGACCGGAGAAGTCGATCTATAAGTCAAAGGAGCGGGACGCTTGATTTTGTGCTATAGTCCATGATAGTCGTGCAATTTCAGGAACGAGCAGAAGGAAAAGGACGGGAAGGGAGGGCCTGCAAAGGCAAAGAGCCATAAGATAAAGAAAGGCGAGGGAAAGCATGCTAGACAAAGGAAGCTGACATGGCGCAGCATCTCGCCAGCAGTTGTTAGTACTTGTTACTAGACTCTCCTACTAGTGAACAATGAGGGCCGCAGCTACCCAATCAGCAACAGAGGGGAACGGCGCCATCAGATGAAACGCCGATCACCATTGGGTGGATGGCACACATAGGGCATGGATTCATTTCGCTGATGTTCAAGATGCGGGACATCCACAGGCTACAAGAGAGTTTTCTGGCACCCAAGGTTTGTCGACATTAGGAGCTGTTCGTGCCCCTCGGTGTTGCACAGACACTTGTAACAAAGACCGTGATACTCTGTAGATGGCGTCGCAAACTCACGAGGGGTCGGGGAAGAGATCCCTCACAAAATATGAAGAATAAAAGGAAATTCTTGGAGCGGTCAGCCCCGCAAACCTCTGCGCATTCCAACCAACGATCCATGGGTTTGATCGACATCTGAGTGGCTATGGTGAGAGCCATGTTGCGCAGCGGTTTCTTGGGGGCCAATCCTTGGCTAGCATTTAGTGGCCCATTTGGCCTCTAGTTCTGACATAGCACAGGGTGGATTGACAAGACATCGCCAGAAAGAAGATGCAGAGTGGGCACAGCTGACTATGTCCGGCCGTAAACATCTATATTTATAGAACTGCTGGTGGTCATTCTGCATGCCGACGGAACCATCATGACAGCCGATCACGAACGGCCTGCACGTGACCCTGTCGGAGATTGGAGATAACGTAACCAGACCTGCACTAACCCAGATGCGTTAGGGGCATCAATATCCGTGATGGTCCCGCGTCTAACGGTCAGTGACGATGTGGCATACCGAACTCATTCTTATCGTTACCGGTCCTAGTCGAATCGGCATTGACACCAATCACTCGCTAATCTACGAAGGTCTTTTCGTGGCCAACAGAAGCCGCACCGACAATGAGTGGGATGAAGGGAGTATTCAAGGAGGGCTGGCACCCCAAGGGTAAAGGAGGGCAAAAGGAGAGCTGGCGGGGCGATTTCAAAGGCATTAACCAAGTGGTGGGTTTTAACCATTACAGCAAAGCGACCAGAGATGAGCTGACGATGTGCTACTCTCCCGATAGGCTGGATGGATGGGAAAAGGCAAAGACAAGGACAGCGATCGTGAGGAACACGTCTCCAAGCCGCTCTCGTCGCTCAAGGACCCAGCAGCCTTTGGGCCACCACCGAAGCATATCAAATATCACGGTGCCGCTGCTGTCCCGAATGAGACAACACCAGACCGGAGGGGTTTAGGTGCCCCCTTGTCGCAAGAATCGATTCGCCAACAGAATACTCGTCTACAAGAGCAAGCGGAAGCCGAGGCAGAACCCCAGAAACCAGCACCCCCTCCGTTACCGTACCGTGCAAACAGGACAGGCGTTGATCCGAGTACCCTCCCCCCTCCTCCCGTTAGACGCACGGGGTCACCAGCAGATTCTGCGGCTTCTGGCGCTAGACCCAGCATCCCACCCCGAATTCCTTCACGGACCAATTCCACGCCACAGTCCCATTCACCTACGCCGCCTCCTGCATACTCTCCTCATCCTACCACAGAACAGACCTCTGATGGCTACCTGAATCAAGGGGCTACATCTCGCCTTGCTCAGGTGGGAGTTTCCGTTCCCTCTCTGGGAATCGGAAACCGTGGCGATTCACCGAGGTCTGCGTCCCCAGCTACTGGTGGGTCAATCGGTCAAGCTCCGGTCAGTGAACTGCAAACACGCTTCTCCCAAATGAGGACCAATTCCGGCAGTCCGTCTCGACCTCCTCCCCCGCCGGCCCGGGGGAGCCTATCTGGACGGGAGTCCTCCACCGTGTCTGCGTCAGATGTGCACAGCGCTACGTCCGCTATTAAGGACTTCCGCGAGAAACATGACGACAAGATTCAAGCAGGAAAGCAGAAGCTCAGTGGTTTCAATGAGAAGTACGGGATCTCCCAGCGGGTAAACAGCTTCTTTGACGACCGGAAGGGCTCCACACCTTCGGACCAAGCGCCACCGCCCGTGCCTCCTCATCCCAATCTCAGTCGTTCCAACTCTAGCGTTGACACAGAGTCCATTAGTCAAAAGAAGGCTCCACCACCGCCTCCCCCCAAGAAGTCAGGAATGCGATCTACTCCAGTGAATGCACCATCCCCGACGCCTCCTCCGGTGCCACTTGGCACCAAGCCACGCTAAGCAGAGCATTCAAACATAAATATTTCCTGGGGCTCTGTTTTGCTTTTTCTTTACGTATGTACTCTGTAAGGGTATCTCGAGATCTTGGGTTGTTGTAGCGATTGTATCATTACTTATCTGGCGTTGTCTTGCTTAGGTAGCACATCAATATCGTAGAAATTTGTACATGGAGATGACTGATATTCAGTGTGCGGATGTATCAAGCAAATGTAGATGCGAAGTAGGGCGACGAGAACATCTCAATGCACCTGAATGGTTGCTGGGCGTGCAAGCGTCGGCGGACTCCCATGATACGCCATCATGTGAGTTCAACAATTTGACAAGGCCAAGGATTGGGGCCTAAGGCGGTGATCGCCACGAGTCATGCACGGGCTGAGTCAGCGGGTAGCATGAAGGCGTTGGAGAACCATGGCAAGACCAAGCAGCAGTTCATCATCGTCGCATCATCGCGCGTGGATCTCTACATAGTACACCAATTGCGCCAATGACAGTAAACATCATACAAACAAGCCAGAGTTCAGTCTCGGGCTTTATCTGGTTGCCTTCCAAATCGAACCGAGAGATATGCCGACGGCATTACGAAAGAACTGATAATCCGTCGTGCCTGCCATCAGACCATCAATGCGGAAACCCATCGCGTGTGGCCAATCACGCCTGCGTCTTGGATGATACTGCGTATAGGGTGCTGATCCCTTGATAGAAAGGCCAATTGTTGAAAGACTTAAAGAGCCCTTGAGCCAATGGCCATTGCATGAGACACTCCTTGTTCACAAGCATCTTTGAACAAGGATCAACGGGCCTTTGGATGGATTTTTCCCTACGTAACTGTTGGGGCCGAGGTTCGCAGCGTGTTCGTCAGGGCCAAGTTCCCAACAAAATGCATCGCGGCTCCACTTCCGCAGATAATCTTCGCTCCCATTGATCCGGAACGTTTGGTGACCCCAGAACTCAAACGTGAAGGCCTGGTCTGTTTGGCTGAGTCTGGGCGATCATTTATCTTCCATTCTTCCTTTCTTTCCTTCGCCAATTGCCTCATTGCCGACCAAGTTGATCTTCCTGTTGCTGCTGGGGTTGTCCTGCATTCACTCCAGGCTCCAATTTCTAGCTACAGAGGGTATTCATCACCATATATAATATAATACCTCTTTTTTGTTGACCTTCTCTCCGGTCCGGTTTTCTATACTTTTCTCTTCCACTTTTTTTTTTCTTTCCCTAAACCCGACGGGAACCGCGATTCTCACTCTCGAGGAAGTGAGCTTGGATACAAAGCCATTCTCCTTACCTCATCTTGCAACTTGACCCTCCCCACTGTGGGAAATCTAGCAACATGTTCGATCTGAATCTCGAGACCGCGTCAGGCCCAGCAGTCCTGCGCATCGGCCTCCCACCCTCCTCGTTATTGAAATTCCCCCCAGACGAACTCCCTACCACTCTGCCAGCCCCCCAGGCCTCCGAACCGACATGGAACCAACCCTTCAATATCCCTCCCCAGCTGTATAACCAACTACTAGATGTGCGCGTGCCCATCACCATTGCCAGTGTGTACGCCGTCACCGTTTGCCTGCTCAATCGCGTCAACAAGAGTCGCGGATACAAGCCCTGGGGATTCAGTCAGACAAAGATCTTCAAGGCTTTCGTCATCCTTCACAATGTCTTCCTTGCCGTGTACTCGGCATGGACTTTCGCCGGCATGTTCCAGGCGTTCCGGAACTCGTGGCCAGACCGGGATGATCCCAATGGCCTCGTGGGTGTGGTAGATGCGCTTTGCAAGATCAATGGTCCCCGTGGCTACGGAAATGCCGCCACGTACAACCCCTTGGACAACCAGTGGTCCATTCACAATCCCGAATACAAGCTCGCTGACGGCGGAGTACCTGACCCTACTGATGTCGGTCGGATGTGGAATCAAGGGTTGGCCTACCTGGGCTGGATCTTCTACCTGTCAAAGTTCTACGAGGTTTTGGATACTGCAATTATCCTGGCCAAGGGCAAGAAGAGCTCAACCCTGCAAACTTACCACCATGCCGGTGCCATGATGTGCATGTGGGCCGGCATCCGTTACGTCGCCCCGCCCATCTGGATCTTCACCCTGGTCAATTCGGCTATCCATGCGATGATGGTACGTATGATTGGTTGAATGCGAGATCCTGCAGCGAGCTAACCTAAGAAAACTTAGTACACTTATTATACCCTGACTGCTCTGCGCATTCGTGTCCCCGGCGTGATTAAGCGCTCTCTGACCTCCATGCAAATCACCCAGTTCCTGGTCGGAACCACCTGGGCTGCCTCGTACCTCTTTGTCCACTACACTCTTCCTCCCCAGTCCAAGGCTGCTGCTGCGGCATCTGCAGTCCGCTCTACCATGGCGACTGCAACTGCTTCTGGGGTCGCGCCATGGCTCAAGAAGCTTGGCTTCCGGGCAGCTGGCGCGGAAGGGATTGCCGAAAATGTTGGCTATGCGTCCGAGATCGCTGGCAATGTATCGCAACCTCATGTGGGTCCCATGGTTACTTGCATGGACACCAGCGGTCAAGGATTTGCGATCTGGCTCAACGTAACTTATCTTCTGCCCCTGACTTATCTTTTCGTCCGCTTCTTCATCCGTTCTTATCTGTCTCGCAAGGACCCCAGCCCTCAGCAGGCCACTCACATGCATGCTGCCGAGAAGGCCGGTCTGGATGCATTGCACCGCGTGAGCCGTGAGATTCAGAAGTCCGTCGAGATGAGCGGCGAAACGAGCGAAGCCACTGAGGATGAAGCTATCAACAAGGCCCAGGCACTCCGGAAGAAGTCCCAACAGCTCGCTGCCGATAACTCCCCGATCCGGACTCGCGCTTCTTCGAAGCAGAAGGCACGTCTGGCCAACCAAGAGTCTGGGCAGGGCTTCTCCCCGGTGAAGAATGGTGCTAAGAAGGTCACTAAGGAAGAAGTCGAGGCCTCCACAGACGTTTCCGGCGTCAAGGACAAGAACCCCTATGATGTCCTGAACCGAAATGCTTAGACCTCATTTTGCTAATCCTGAAAAGACATCACTCCTTATTTATTTACACTGCCCGGGAATCACCTACAACGGCTTAGAAGTTTTACTGGGCAACCAACCCGAAATAGTCAAAGACCTTTCCTTACTGCATGTTCCGACCACGTTATGCACGATAAGAACAGACTGGGATATGAACCTGACGAGCCTCGGGGACCGCTACCAGCCTGATCACCCCATGAGATCGTGTATCACGGTCAGTGGCCCATGATCTGATCAGAGCAGTGGCGGTTACCTTTTCAAGTTACAGCACGAAGAGAAGACAAGTCCTAGAATGCGTTAAACAGTTATTTGGGCTGGATCTTTTTTCTTCATTTCCTGTTCTTTTTTCTTTCTTGATAGATTTTGTTTATTTATGTGAATATGTTAATACCAACAGCTGGATCTGGACTTTGAAAAGAACTGGAAATAATATCTTTAGTTAGGAGCACAAGATATCAAAAAGCATTGTTTATCGTTTGATCTATACTATTTATCCTGGATCCCTATATTATCTATCCGTAGATGTTTCTCTCATTGCGTTTTGCTGTGTGGCACATGCTCTCAGGGGTTAAAGGAATGAGCAGGCCAACCCATAGCGATTCCTGGTATATATGAAGTACAACCATCTAGACCTAACATTACCTTATCATAAAGAGGAGCGGTTCATTCCTGTGTTGTATTAATAAAACCAAAGGTCTCTCACTCAGTCATACGCGATAGAGTGTACATTACCAACCACGAAGATTTGAGTTGAACGCAACTCGTAGTCCGGACAAAAGACTCAGCATATATACCAGCAAAAGATATTTATAAA